TCCAGTTTTTATAGCATTGATTGTTTTAATAATTCCTGCTGTACCGCCAGATAGACTTCCAAGTGCTCCTAATGCTACGAATAAAGGCGCTAATGGGAGAAATCCTCCAGATTTAGGTAATGGTATTACACGTGGTGCTTTTATTATAGATTTTTTTCCTCTAAAAATATTATTTACAACCTTTCGTGAAATTTTAATTGCATCTTTTAAGTTATCACTTTTCTTTAAATTTTGTTTAGCACTTTTTAAAGCATGTTTGAAGAGATGATAACCAGTTTTTCCTCCCACTTTCTTAGTTTTACTATAAATGTTCCCCATACCGAATTTCGTTTTTGTCTTCATTATATTTGTAGCTAACCAAGCATTTGTTTTCCCATTAAGATTGCTATCCTTCGGTCTAACTCTTTCCCAAGCCTTCTCAATTAATTTTTTATCAGCAATATGTCGGTTATCTAAATCTTTATTATATAAATATGATATATCATGTTCTCTACAAGCAATGTCTAGTAGATTAATCCCTCGATTTCCTCTTACTAAAAGTTTCCGTAGTTTCGTTCCAGGTTCACAAAATTGATAACTAGGCAAATGAAGTGCAATAGGAAGCTTATTAATTATATTATTTATAAAACCTTTTCCAACGACTAACGATTTATGAATAAACCTTTTTTCATAAATAACTCTCATATAAAATAATATTATATTCAAATAAACGCTGAAGTTTTTTTAAATAAATCTATGGTTCTATATAATTAAATTTCAAATTTCTAAATACCAAAAGTTAATCTATATTCAAATACAATATTATTATATGATTTAGAATAAACTTCTATATCATACATCACTTCCCTATAATACTTTAATTTAGTCTTCATATCTAAACCCCTTCTTTCATATTCATGTTAGTTTTGTTGTTGCTCCATTATGTACTCCTCAATTTCCCCGCCACAAACGGTTAGGAATTTTCCATTGTCATCCTCTTCTTCCCATTTTTTGTTAAAATAAAGCATGGGCTGCTCTGACTGGGATGCCCAAAACCTGTAACCGGGGACCCTCATCTTCATCTTCAATACATATATAAGGGTTTTTCATGTCTTCAAAGCACAACATCTCCAATTCGAAATCGAAGTTGTACTCTCCATGATGCTCGCTATTGAGGATTCGATTGATTCCAGGCATGATGTGTTTTATAAGTATCTTTAAACAAAGTAATAATTTCTAATGTACAGTATTAGCTTATTTATACATATTTCATAACTATATAAAAAGCATTGAGGTAAACTGTTGATAAAGAACATATTTAAATATACATATATTTTAGTAATCTATTTTATACTTCATAATATGTTTCAATTAAAATGTGGAAAGGATCTT